AGGCCTGAACCAGTACATGGTAAAGCTCAGGTTTCGCATGGTCTCTCTGGCCTCCATCATCCCCTCCCTGGATCCCGGGGACTGGTACGCTGCCCTCGATCTACAGGATGCATACTTCCACATTCATATATTCGAGGGACATAGGCAGTTTCTCCGTTTCACGGTTGGGCAGGAGCACTACCAGTTTACTGTCCTCCCGTTTGGCCTGTCCACTGCTTCCAGGGTATTCACAAAATGTATGCCTGTGGTAGCGGCCTACCTCAGATGTCGAGAGGTCCAGATCTTTCCCTACCTTGAGGACTGGCTGGTCAAGAGCAGCTCCAGGTCACAGGTGCAGGATCATGTATCACTCCGCCTGTCCACATGCACCACACTGGGCCTGTTGGTAAACGACACCAAGTCCAGATTAGTCCCGGTGCAACACATAGAGTTCATTGGGGCAATTCTGGACATGACGTCGGCCAGGGCCTCCCTCCCACTGGACAGATTCGAAACCCTAAGGGAGCACATCATCATGGTCACAAGGTTCCCCATGACCACAGCCAGAGTGTGCCTTCAATTCCTGGATCACATGTCGGCGTGCACATATGTAGTTCGTCATGCCAGACTCAGGATGCAGCCCCTCCAGCTCTGGTTGGCCTCGGTATTCTCCCAGTCCAGAGACAGGATGGACAAAGTCCTCACTGTGCCCAAACTGTGATGGTGGTACTCCCTGGGGAACATGCTCCAAGGGGCCCCATTGAAGGGCCGACCCACGTCTGTGGAGTTGGTGTCCGACGCATCGGACCTGGGGTGGGGAGCCCATGTGGGAAACCAAGGTCTGTGGTCCACTCAGGACCTTGCCCTGCATATAAACTTCAAGGAGCTCAGGGCAGTCCGTCTGGCATTTGTGGCCTTCCGCTCGCATCTGGAGGGCAGAGTGGTCAGGGTTCTCACGGACAACACGGCCTCGATGCTCTACATCAACAGGCAAGGTGGGGCCCGATCCTCTGCCCTCTGCCTGGAAGCCCTTAGGTTGTGGGACTTCTTCATAGCCCACAATATTTACCTAGAAGCCCACCACTTACCGGGTGCCCGGAATTCTCGGGCGGCTCTCCTCTCAGCACGAGTGGTCACTGCACCCAGAGGTGGTTCACAGGATTTTCCAAACATGGGGCATTCCCCAAGTGGACCTGTTTGCGACACGGCAGAACCGCCAGTGTCCCCGCTTCTGCTCCGGAGGGGATGGGGGGGGAATTGGGCGTGGGCGCCATCTCCGACGCCTTCCTTCTGTCCTGGTCGGACCAACTTTTCTATTCCTTTCCCCTGATTCCTCTGATCGGCAAGGTCTTGGAAAAGATAAAAACGGCCAGGGCCCGGGTCCTCCTGATCACCCCAGCATGGCCCAGGCAACATTGGTACGGGACTCTCATGAGCCTGGCAGTCGCCCCGCCGTGGCCATTGCCATCCCACCTGGACCTGCTTTCCCAAGACCAGGGTCGCCTCCTCCACCCCAACCTAGCGGCACTCCACCTCACGGCATGGCTGCTCAATGGTTAGGCCGGGAAGAGAGGACTTGCTCGGAAGGGGTTCAGCGCGTCCTCCTGGAAAGCAGATGGCCCTCCACACATCGGGCCTACCTGGTGAAATGGTCTCGGTTTTCCCAGTGGGCCGCTGATCAGGGCATTTCATCTGTGGCTGCTCCGATTCAGCTTATATTAGACTACCTCATTCACCTTAGAGCCCAGGGCCTACCACCCTTGTCTGTCAAGGTGAACTTGGCGGCCATATCGGCCTTCCACCCGCCAGTGCAGGGCCACATGGTGTTCTCCCATGCCATGACTGGTCTATTCCTTAAGGGTTTGGATCGCCTCTTTCCCTATGTTAGGTCCCCAGTCCCTCAGTGGGACCTGAACCTGGTGCTGGCAAGGTTAACTGGTCCTCCATTTGAACCACTAGCTACATGCTCCTGGTTGCACCTCTCATAGAAGGTAGCCTTCCTGGTGACGATCACATCCGCTAGATGGGTCTCAGAACTCCGGGCCCTGACCTCCGAACCCCAGTACACGGTGTTCCATAAGGATAAGGTCCAACTCCAACCACATCCTTCATTCCTCCCTAAGGTGGTCTCCGCCTACCATATGGGTCAGCACATTTTCCTGCCGGTGCTCTGTCCCAAACCCCACGCGTCCATTGAGGAGTGCCGCCTCCACATGCTGGATGTAAGACGGGCTCTGGCTTTTTACGTGGAACGTACAAAGCCGTTCGGGAAGTCCTTGCAGCTGTTCGTCGCCTCGGTCGAACGCATGTATCAATCCTTTGACCTCTCTTGAGAAGACCAACAGGAAAGGCAGCTAGTGCCAGTTGTGATTGTTTTTTTGTAATGTGGACAGCTGGAACTAGGCAGAGATCGCCAGTTCAATAAATCACTAGCCCCACAGATCACTAATGCGGTAAATCAGATAGTGAAGACTTTCTGTCACTGCTGACTGGAGTGAGATTCAAACTAGGAGAGACCAGGTCTGTGTGCCATTACCAGTACTTTGAGTTATGCCTTTAAAAATGCAGTAAGGATACACTAACCAATGCAGAGCCATCCATTCATTCACAAGGAATGTTCTATACAGTCTAGCAGCAATGCATAACTTCTCCTAGCTAATGAAATTATATATTAAAAATAAAATTGCAAATGCCAATCAAACATATGTTTTTTACCATGTAACAAATTCTTATTTGTGGTTTTCTTTCCATGTGTAATATAATATAACTGCTTGTAGCTGTTTAAATTTAGTTATACACACATCTTTCAGCAAGCTGCACATTTTTTCTTTCTTTTTAATAATCCAGACACAAAATATCAAATTCAGCTAAGAAGAAAAATATGAGTAATAAGAACAAATAGACAAATCTAGAGTCTGTTATATGCAAAATACTAAATTAAACACTGGCATGTTAGGTTTGTTTGTTTTTAATGGCAGCAGTAGAAGCTGCCCAGGGTGTTGAACTAGTAGAATTATTCCTAGTGGAGAAAGATTACAGGGCAGAGTACAAGGGGAATTGCTAAAGGTGTATGCTAAATGGAATCTAATCCAAGATGAGCAATGAATAACTGCATAGCATCTTCAGATTTGTGACAAATGTGTCTATGTATAGTAATAAACAATTTATTTAATGCAATGTTAAGGTTTCAGAGTTAGCAAAGTTTAGTAATTAAGTCATGAAATGTGAAAATTAACTCTTGATGTAAGCATTATAATACAATACAATGCACTGTAATATAAGTGCAGATTTTTCCTACAATTTTGGTAGTACCTTTTCATTTTCAATAACTAGAGGCCAAAGGAAAACCTCAAATCTGAACACCCCTGACCTTTTGTGAAATCTGGATCTGAACTTTCATAAATTCATAGATTTTTAAGACCAGAAGGGACCATTATGGTCATCTACTTTGTCCTTGCTGTGCTTTGACTACTTTGTGGTCATTTCTAAAGTCATCCGTGATCATGTAATTAATGACTGTATCTTAATGCATATTCAGTAGATAATTGTCAAATGCCCGTAACTTTGCTGGATTCAATCAAAAACCTAGCAAAAGTCCTCAGTGAGACCTACATCCATGGTAGGTTTCAGGCTTTCTATATCAATTTGCAGTAGGCTTGTATTCTGGGAAAAATAATAGCATGGTTAGACATTTTTTTAAATGGGAAAAAGTGGATTAAAATTGACTGAAGGGAGTCAGATCAAATTTTGAAATCAAATTTTTAAAAAATCAAATCTCCTTCTAGCCATGACCAGGAGGAATATGTGAGCCCAAAGGGAATTTAAAAAAAGAAAGTAAGTTGTAGGGTGGACTATTCAAAGCACCTAATGTGCCCACTCCCCCCTTTGAAATTCATTGGGAGTTGAGTGCCTTAATCTCTTAGGTTCCTGTGAAAATCCCAATTGTTAGAAGTAAAAAGAGGAGGCTTTGCAATGTTACCTATGAATGGGTGAGATTGAGTGTCCATTGCAATATGGTTAATAAGGTGTTTTTGGAACTTTCTGAACAAACATGATATACAAACATGCATACAGATGTAAGATGACATGCCTGTTCAGCAAGTGTGTGTGTGTGGGGGGGCGGGGTGGGTTAGAAAACATGCTTTGGGTTATATGGAGGAAGTGTACAGTTAAGAAGTAACATTGAAAAAATGTGAATGTTAATGTATCACAGAATCAAGTTCTCTGGAAAAATTATAATCAATAGTTCTACACTGAAATTATTTGTTTAATAATTAGTGATGAGTTAATAATGATTGGGTTAGGGTTTGCCTGACCCTTTCATGTACCTTTTTATCACTCTGCGGTGGCTCTAGCTGTTGCACCCTGCAGCATGACCAACAGATTTCAAGACATGCTCTGCAGCCCGTCTCAGGACCAGTGCCAGGGTTCTACGAAAGGCCTCCCAGACCCATCCTCTTTGCCAGCAGTAGGCTGTCACTATTGGTATATAAATGCCAATTGGAGCACCCAGATGTGAAACGGGGTGTCCTGCCTGAAGCACCTAAGTTTGAAAACTGAGCCATGCATGTCTCATATTCTTCCTTTGAGAAGCAGTTTGTCTAATTCATCCATTCCCCCTTCCTTCTGCTCACACCCTCAGCCACTGTGTGTATATAAGGAAACAAAACAAATCTGGGGTGGAGGAGAAGAGCTTTGAAGAACTACCATGACTTCATCCTGCTCACTGTCCTTATAAGTTACATCCTTCCCTCCCCACCTCATGCCTTTCATCTCTCTTGACCATTTAGATTGTAAGCTCTTTAAAGCAGGGACTGGGTTTTATTATGTTTGTACAGCACCTAGCATAATAGAGAACTGACATGATATGGGACCTTTTGACACAACAGTAATACAAATAATAATGAGCATTGAATAGTATCATTAGCGCTTTCAGGATTGTTCCCGCTCTTCATTTCATTGTGTAACCGTGGTCCAAAGAATGAGGCTAATAAGTGTCTATTTTGTCTCCCATCATACAGTGTTCTGCAGAATGTGGTGCGGGAGTCCGAACACGGTCAGTAGTTTGTATGTCCAACCATGTTAGCAGCTTGCCACTAGAAGGTTGTGGGAATAACAGACCCTCTGAAACAATCCCCTGTGACAATGGACCCTGTGTGGGTAAAGTGGAGTGGTTTGCTGGAAGCTGGAGTCAGGTGAGTTTTACCTCAAAATGATATATTTATATTTCTATCACCAAATTTTTATCTATACAACAATTTTTTAAAGTGGGAAAGTATTTTGGTTGTGCACCTTTAGGACTAATTACAAACTGTGTTCAGTTGATATGATATATATTTGCTGTCATTTTCTCCCCCTGTTTTTTATTACTTGGATGAAATTATTATGACACTTGGATGAAAATAAGATTTTTGTTTCTTTGCTCCTCTACTACTACACTTGTATCTCTCAGCTGGAGACATAAATCCAGATCTAGTTTCCTTTGTGTCACTGCCACAGAGCAGCTGGGGATTCCCCTGCAGAAGAATCCTCATGTGACATAAACCCAGCAACCAGCTCTTTGTAACATTTCCCTCCCCCATGGTATAGATGATATTTCCTGGGTAGACCAGAGGCAGGGAGGGGTATGGCTGGAGTACACTGCTCTGGCCAACAAAGCTACCAGTAGAGGACTGTTCTAGCCAGCATAATTTAGATCATCCCTTAGGCTGAGTTAAATTACATCAGGGGTTTGATTGGTCCCAGGATCAGAAGCATGGATAATAAAGTTAGAGCTACCCACTACCCCAAATCCAGGTACACAGTTCTCATTTGATGACAACACTGTCATCAGTAACTACTACGATATTACAAATCTCTAACGGTAAGTGAATTATAAGCAACAAAAGTTAATGAAACAGATGTTTTTTCATGAAACGTTCCTTCATTTTAAAATAAAAAATGATAAACATAGGCTATATTCCCGCAACTTTCTCTGAATGGTATGTTTTTCATAAGATATCAGGGTGTCTTTAATGATAAGTTTGTCACCAAATAGCAAAAAATGCTGCCATTACACTTGAGATTTGCAAGTTTAATAACTAGTTTCAGTGACCAGTGGAAAGAATTTGTTTAATTAAAAAAAAAAGAGCGGATAAGTTTTTGGACTTCTTTGCCACAGTTAAACATGTTCAGTGATATTCCATTAGGCAGATATAATAATAACCCAACCTTTACTGTAGAACTAGTTGATGATGCTCAACAAGATTAATTATTGAAAGAATTACAAAGGACTCTTCTCTACTGCCAGCCCCAGTTCAAGGGATAATCTCCCTGTTTAGGTCCAGTCAACACTTTAATAAACGTTTTCCTGGCATAACTATGTTAGTTAGGTGTCATTTTTGCCAACCTAACTATTCTGGTTAAACCCCAGTGTAGGTGCAGTTACACTGGTAGAAGGTGCTTTACCAAATCAAAATAGGCTATGCTGATATAAGCACTTCTATACTGGTATAACTATAGCTACACTAGTGGGATTTTGCTGCTCTAACTGTGCTGTCATAGCTAAAATGGCAAAACTTCTAAGTGTAGTCAAAACCTTAGTCTCCTTTTTGGAAATTGAATGAATTTGATTTAATCCCATTAGAGTACTGTACTTTATGAAGTATATATTGACCCAGCTTCCTCAGAAAATGAGAATGTCAGAAATCTGTGGACATTGCTTCTGGCAATTAAGGCAGCTCAAAAACTCAAAACCAGCATTCTTCTCTTTGGACCCTTCATCGTAGAGCCATTGCAAACCCTGAACGCCAGCAGGGAGGCATGTAGGTCACAGCTAAAGCACTAAGCATGAATAGACAAAAGCAAGTGCTAAAAACAAAAGTTATTTTTGGTTTGGCTCCCCTGAGTTCTGAAGTGGCAGGTGAAGAGAACAAAATTTGGCCAGTGGCCAGCTCCCTGGTGCTTTTGTACTAAGATAAATTCTTCCCTTGTCCCACATCTCAATGTTTCTTTTCATTCTAATGGGAAAATATTGCTCTCGGCGGTAGAGGAATTTCAAAAACTGTCAACTGGAGCCCAAAGAGTTACATCCCCTTTGTGTGGACTTTTATATAACCTCTAGAGTTTTTCAGACTGCTGGTACCTACATTCCATCAAATTATTAGGGAAGTGCCTCTTGGCTGGGCCTGTAGTTTCAATGTATCAGAGATGTCAAGATCCCCTGGGATGATAAAGGATGCTTTGATGGAGATTTAAGGGCTCCTATTCTGAAAATGCTTTGAAGTTGTGAAACACAATATAAGTGCTAATTGTTGGTATTTTTAAATAGTCACAATAGACTTAGTTTTAAAAGATGTTTAAATGTAATTGTAACCATATTTGAAATCTGTGTCGTATTACACAGAGTATTCCATACACACGAATAGATGCTTTGCATCTGGTTCTGTCCCCATAGAAGAGAAGAGAGCTGATGTTGCATACAAGCCTTACATGACAGTTTTTTTGCACGTCAGGCTGCATAGAAATACCAGCTTCCTCCCATTGTAACTCTCAGGAGCTTTTGAAGACAAGTGACGTAACCTGAGGGGTTCAAAATGTACCCAGCACAGTAAATCTAATCATTCTGGGTCCTGCACTTTGTTCCAGCAAGAGGAATTTGGCTGTCAGCAATCAGATAACAAATCACAAGGCCCTTTCAACATAAAGTGCCATTTTTACCACTTATAGTAGGGCTTTCTGTAGAAAAGGTGTGATCAAAAACAATACTAAGATTGTTAATGTCCAAGCAAGTGCCAATAAAAACTGGGGCCACGAAGAAATGACCTGTACAGACGTTCAAAAGAAAGCAACTCCAACGTAGCCCAGCTGTCAGTATTGTCCACACATTCCTTCAGCGCAAAGACTGAACTCAGAGGGTCAATGGGGCAAGAAATAGTTGTAAACTATAAGCATGCTTCTGGTGCACCATCCCATGTTCAGATATGATTCTGCCCAGAGGCCTTTTCTAGACATCGAGCCACAATGGAGATAGACTAGAAGCTTGAACCCTGCAGACATGAAATATATTATTTGTATTTTTAATCTGTGCTTTACAGCATAGGAATTTCTGCACATTTGAACATCAATACAATAAATAACATATTTAGCAACCTAAAAAGGGAAGGTATAGAGTAAGGGGAGACCTGCATTGATTTAATGGATCTGAAGTATCTGTGTTCCAAAGAACAGAACACCTCAGAGGATAACCAGAACACCTCCTCTAAGAACAATGTGCCTGTTTTGTTGCTGCCCCATTTAGGTTACATATAGCACAGAAGATGGAAGACACTCTCTTTCCAGCAGCTTCTAGTGAACCCTTACTGAGGAAGGAGAATCCCCTCTATCTGAAAACATTACTGCACCTGTAACGGCACCTGCAGCTCCTTTTCTGATGGGTGATGGCTGTTTCCTGTAGCAAATTCTCTCAGGCGTTAACAACAATTGAGAATATTGTCTGTTGTTGTGTCTCAGCTTTTCCCCTGAATTCCAAATGCTACACGGTGTTTTCCAAATCTCCCTGCTCTCTGATCATAGGCAGCCTTCCCTTTTAAATGTACTCAGGCAACTGAAGGGTACCTCAGTGAATTGCTGTCAACCTAAAGACATCAAAAAAATTGAACTCTGGACATCAGCAGTTGTACAGAAAGTACACGGGCTTTTTACATCTTTCCTTAGGCCTGTTCAGTCCATTTGTGAGAGTTCGGTTACACACAGTGCTGCAGTTGGGAGCTAGATCCTAGTAAGAGGATACATGCTGCTTTACAAAGCTAATTGCAACCAAATCATCAGTGAGAAATCCTGTAAATAGTGGGTATTTTGTGGCTGGGAATGGAACTTGATGAGGGCATTAACATCTACATATATCATAGTTACAGTTAAATAGTCTTTAGATCTCCCGGAGGTTGTTGAAGTGTTTCTTGACATCAGAGTCCATGTATGTGCAAGTGGTTTTCTTGCAGAAGTGGCTAGAATGCATTCTCTACAAAGAGAAATCTTCTTCTTGCAGTCGAAAATATATTCAGAATCACATATGTTGCTGTGCACACAGTTTAATTACTAGTTAATGATAAATCCTTTTACATTGATTGACAGCTGTTGCTCAAGTCCTGAATGTTCAGACCTGTTGTGAAGAACAGAAGTTATATGAAATGAAATTATACTTTTAGCTTTCACAACCATTCTCAAGAAAATCAATAATAAAGTACTATCAGGACTCCAAGTGATTTGTAGCAGACTTGTCCTTTATTCAACAGATTGTCAGAAACCACCTCTCAATTACATTATCTAAGAGCTATACCAACAACAATATTTTAAAAAATGAGAATTGGTATAGAATTTCACTGATGTCGAGACAATGCAGTGGTTATCGCCTCCAGACCTAAAGCTGGGAAGCAATATTCCAAAGTTTTAAATCATAAAAGCTTTGTTTTCCATTGAATACACATATTGTGTAGTGCATAAGTTGAGGCAATGCTCAAATATGTGTATTGAAATGGAAAAAAGAGGCATTTTAAGTTTGAAAACCAGCTATTGGGTCTAACATGGGTGCCATTTTGGATTAATTTCTAAGAAAATTTCTACCTATGCCCATTTTAAAATCCTTAGTCCCTTTTCTAGATCTTGGCTACTGCATTCTAAGCAGATGGATCTATCATCAGTATTAAACAATTAAATCATCTAAATTAATCTCTTGCAAAAATCAAGAATGTCATTCATTCGTTCAATTTTTTCCTGATTCCAATCTCATTTACTGTATGATAACTCAAAGTTCTTAGCAAAGGTAATTTATTATTTTGTACTTATACTGAGTCCTGTGGTAAAGCTTATTCATAATCTGTGCATGTGTTTCCTTTGTAACTATTCAGGAACAGAAGAAAATCTCTCTCATATTTCACCCAGCACACATGTCAAAAATCTATTAGTGCTACGTATCCTTGCAGTTACAATAAAATACACAAAACAAGGATCATTTTATATAGTCTGTGCAAATAGACATATGTTGACAATTGTGATTATTGATTACAAATTGGTAACACAGATGACCTGTTTCATAGCTTTATCTACACAGCTGGTCTAGAACTAAGCCAGAGTTTTAGTCTCTCTGAAACATGAGACCCCAAATTTCACTTCAATTTCTTTGTCACCCCTGAAGGTTCAAACTGCACCCAAAACTAAA